CATGATGTATGTGCAAGGGCCCCAGAGCAGACTGAACTTGATATAAATATTAGCTTTACCGTGAGGAAGATAGAGGCCTTAGGAGCACTCCCTGAGTCTTTCACCTGGTTCTGTGCCTCAGTGTCTGAAATTTCCACTCTGAATCCCATGTCTTTGTGTCACTGGACAGGGTCTGGGCCCAGAGTGGGTCTGCCTTGAGCCAGCCAGTAGTGTGTGATTTCTTGATTTAGTGCAGGAAAGATTTCACAGCACAAGTCCAGGTGATTTTTGAGAGTATGCTTATTAGAGCTGGAGACAGTGAATCAAAGGAAGGTCTTAAGATAGAAGAAGAAACAGTAGAGACCAAAGGCAGTGCTCTGCTTTGGCTCCTTAGAAATATTATAGGAAATAAATGAGCCAAGGTGGGGCTGCTGTTAGCTCAGAGAAAAAGGGGACCTTGGAGACAGGTTCAGGAGGTAGTCACCAGGATGAGGGGTCACTTCCTGCTTCTCCCCTGGTTGCAAGTCTAATGGGGACTCTTAGAATTTTGGAGAAAGAAAGTAAAAAGTTCATGCCCAAGAGAAGGCATGGAAGTACTCCAGAGAGAGAGAGAGGCTGGCCTAGGCTGGCATCCTTTGTCTTGAAGGTTTTTATCACTCTTCTGTGGGTAGAAATCCTAGGGGAGGTCTTAAAGGAGGGCCTTAACAGAATATTCATTAATTTCCCAGGTGTGTCCTTCAATCAAAATGAGCATATAGGGGAGCTTGACATCATTCTCTGGTCAGCTTTAGTGCTTCACTTTTATCTTGGATCTATCAGGCTCTCATCGGGTTTTTGTTATTTACTCCCCTGAATCATCCTCAGGTTTGGCTGACCCAAATGACATTAATTTGGTCTCTGTTCTCTTATCTCCCTGATGATTTACGCTATGTATTTTCTGGTTAGGGAGAAGAGGTATAAACCATTTGTTTTAAAGTGTCCTTGGTTAGGAAAGATAAGGTCTTGTGATTCACAACCTGGCTATAAATTGGTCAAATTGTTTGCCCATTCCACTTGCTGAGGGACTTTCCTAGCTTCTTACTATGCTGCCTCAATTTGATTAGGACATCGTCTTCAAATATTTTTAGTTAAACCTGACTGAGTTGTTCATGGAGAATAGCATAATCCACCATCAATAAAGAGTGAGAGAAACTTCCCAATTCATGACCAATTCTACCCATCCCCTTGTGAGATGCCCCTTCAACGGAGGAAGTCACTAATGTGAATCATTATATCTCAAGATATAGATAAGGGAGGAGGTGTTGCAACATAAAAAGCATCAATGCAGCCCCTTCTTCCTTTGCTCTCTCTGACACTCTATAGGTTCCAGACTTACACACTCTTCAATTTGATTTATTCTTAGAGAAGTTACTAGAGAAGTTAAACATAACAAGAACTGGATTTAGAGCTTGGAAGAGAAGCCTGAGGACTTTGAACTAGAGTATCGCACACTTGAACAACCATAAGTAGAGAGGCATTTTAATTGTTATTCATTGTTTGTGGCTCCCTTCAATCCTCCGGAAATTGGAGGAGAGAATAGTTGACATTGCAGGATTCTAATACTTTCTTTGGATTCCTGGTGAAGGAATCAACATCATCAATAGAAAAACTGTAATTAAAATCTGACAATACTCAACACTTATTTGAGTATTAATTCATTTATCATATTATCTTAAAATAATGACCTTCTACTGAATTTTTCCTACCAACATATAAGCAAGCATTCTGTGTCATCATTCATCTAAAAAACAAGTTAAACAAAATTTCCCAAACCTCTCAACTCACTCCAATTACCTCTTCATGTCTCTGCTTCCCTTTATAAAAATTTGTTGAAAATGTCATCTGTATTTTTTGCAAGCACTTTCTCACCTTCTAGTCTATTTAATTTTTAACAATCTATTTTTCAAATTAATTCACTCAGATCATCTTTATCATTCTTTTTCTTTCTCTATTCTTATGCCCTAAGTGATTTTATTGAGTCCTAAGACCTTAAATACAATACCTATTCACCAATATCTCCTGTATTATTAATTTTGAGGTAGCAGCAAATAACTTCAATATTTCAATGTCTTACATTAAACATGTCTTTGTTATTAATGTAATATGAAAGCTGTGAATCACCTCTGGTTCTTTTTAACTTGGCTGGAGTCAGTGTGACTTCTCATTCTAGACTGAGTACTGTTTTCCTGAGATTATATTGTTTTTATGGTAGAGGGCAGAGCAAAAACATTTAACACAAACCATGAGATCACATTTAAAGCTTTTGTTCAGACATGTACATACGGACATTCTTGTCAACAGGGAGGAAGACCTAGCTTGAAAGGGAAAACTTGAGAGATTTAATAGATATGAGACTTCTGGTCAAGATGGCAGAGGAAGTAAACATTATACTTCCTCCTCTCAAAACCATTTCAAGCCGAGACCGGTTTGGCTCAATGGATAGAGCGTTGGCTTGGGGACTGAAGGGACCCGGGTTCGATTCCGGTCAAGGGCATGTATCTTGGTTGCGGGCATATCCCCAGTAGGGGGTGTGCAAGAGGCAGCTGATCGATGACTCTCTCATCGATGTTTCTAACTCTCTATCTCTCTCCCTTCCTTTCCGTACAAAATCAATAATATATATATATATATATATATATATATATATATATATATTCAAAATTACAGCCAAACCAGAGAACAGCCATCATTGAGAACTGCATAATTTAGCAGAACAGAAGCCCTATAACTAAGGATATGCAGAAGATGCCATGTTGAGACTGGTAGGAGGTGTGCAGTTGTGGAACAAGCTGGTCTCACATCTATGTGTGACAGTTACAAATAGGAAGGGATATCCTAGTTGTAGAGGCACCCCTGAGAAACGAGGAGTCCCAGCACCATGCCAGACTCTCAAGCCCAGGGTTTCAGTGCTGAGAAGTCCCCATAACTTCTGACTGTGCAAACCAGTGGAGATTGTGGCTGAGTGGGATGGGAGGCTTCTGGAATCCCAGGCATTCTTCTTAAAGGGCCCCTACAAACTTACTTGCTGGCAGACTCAATCACTCAGAGCTCCAGCACTAGAGCAGCAGTGCAAAATGTGCCAGGAACATATGGGGAGAAACTGAATTATCTGGCTTCAGGGTGAGGGCTAGAGTGACAGCTTTCTCCCAGACAGAAGTGCTTACAAGAAGCCATTGTTACTTTGCTGAGCCCTCCTCCTGATGTTGTAGGCTGGGGATATATCTGAATTACATCATCCTGGCTAACATTGCCCCATTCTCATGATTTCCCGATACCCTGTCCCACGCAACTTGTTGGCCCATAGTAACTGCTTCAAGGGGCCTTTCCATACAAATAGCATGTCTTGGCACATGCTGTGAACTTTCTTAAAATCTGTAGATCACTTTGTAGCTCATACTGCTGGCCTCAAGCAGGGCATAGGCAGTAGCTTACCTTGATCTGCACTGTCTTGGAGGCCTGAGAACCAACACACCTGGTGGCCATTTTCAGACCACACCAGAGCACCATTGAACCACCTCCACAAACAACACACTAAAAGGGCAGTCTCAGCATCAGGGCCTTGCTAAAGCAAATCCTGCTATGCAGGGTAAGCCCCTGCACAACAGCTCCTCCACTGAAGTCATGGCCGTCCTTTCAACCAGTTAGAGAGTCAGTCCCCCTAGAGGTCATGACTAAACTTCAATAGGAGGGCACACACAACCCACAAAGGAACACACCTGGAGCACCCAGCTCAGGTAACCAAGGAGATTGTGCCACTGGGCCCCTCAGGACACTTCCTGCATAAAGCCACTCTACCAAGGCTGGGAGATAGAACAGCTTTACCCAATACATAGAAATAACCACAGGGAAGCACATAATTCACAACAATGGTTATAAGGATGCTCAAGGAATTTAGTAAGAACTTCAACAGCATAAAGAGGAATATAGAAACCATAAAAAACAAACCAGTCAACAATGAAGATACAATAACTGAAGAACACCTTATAAGGAATCAACACTAAATTAGATGAAGCAGAGAATCAAATCAGTAATTTGGAAGATAAGGTAGCAGAAAAAACACACAATCAGAACAGGAAAAATAAAATCATGTCTATTTTTTTTTTAAAGAGAAGAGTTTAAGGTACCTCTGGGACAACATCAATTATAACAGCACTAGAGGCTTGATGTACAAAATTTGTGCAAGAATAGGTCTTTCTACTCCCTGCTGCTGGCACCAGCTTCCCTCTGGCACCCAGAACCCGGGCTTCTCTTACAGTCCCTGCTTTGTCCAGAAGTTCGTCAAGAAGGACATCTGGTCTAATTAGCATATTATGCTTTTATTATTATAGATTTGCACCATAGGGATATGAGAAGGAGAAGGCAGAGAACAAGGAATTGAAAACCTATTTGAAGAAACGATGACTGAAAACTTCCTAACCTGGCAAAAGAAATATACATGCAAACCTATGAAGCTCAGAGTCCCAAACAAAATAGATCCAAAGAGGGCCACACCAAGGCACATCATAATTAAAATAACAAAGGTTGCCCAGCTGGTGTGGCTCAGCGGTTAAGTATCAACCTATGAACCAGGGGGCTCATGGTTCGATTCCCGATCAGGGCACATGCCCAGGATGTGGGCTTGATCCCCAATGTAGGGTGTGCAGGAGGCAGCATACCAAAGATTCTCTCTCATCATTGATATTTCTATCTCTATCTCTCCCTCTCCCTTCCTCTCTGAAATCAATATATTAAAAAAAATAGCAAAGGTTAAAGATAAAGGGAGAATCTTGCTTTTTAGGAGTTTCACACTTGCAGACACCAACTGGCTTTGCAGTGGCGATACCTCGTGGAAGCTGAAGCCAAATGTCCCATATGGCCCTTCCAGCCAGCCAGGCACCTCAGATGAGACCTACACCCAGGCCAGCACCAGCAGCTCATTGCCAGCACCAGCTGCACCCTCTTCTGTTGGCACACCTGTTCCTGCACCCCGGCAGTCAGGTCTGATGGCCCAGATGGCAACCACTGCCCCTGGTGTGGCTGTGGGCTCTGCTGTAGGCCACACACTTGGCCATGCCATCACTGAGTGCTTCAGTGGAGGAAGTAATGCTGAGCATGAAAGACCTGACATCACTTACCAGGAGCCCCAGGGAATGCAGGTATACCAGCAGCAGCAGCAGTTTGGCCCATGCCACTATGAGATGAAACCGTTCTTGGAGTGTGCCCAGAACCAAGGTGACCTTAAGCTTTATGAGGGTTTCAGCGAGGTGCTGAAACAATGCAAATTTGCAAATGGATTAGCCTAATCAAGAAGGTCAAGTTGAAGAAATGGGAAATTATCTCTCCTGTCCAAGTTAACTTAATATAAAAATATAATTGATAGTGAAATATAAAACTACTAGTTAACTCTCTTATATCAATAATAGTTTCCTTACTTCAGAATTGCAGTAGAAGAGAGTGTGCTTATTGTGTAGAAATTCATTAAGATGATAATTCAGTTTGGGGCTGAGCAGATATTTGTGTGGCCTCCTTAAACCAACTTTTGTGATATTTGTAAATCAGTTACAATAAAGTGATTTTCTTCCAAAAAAAAAAAAAAAAACAATGCAAAGAATCTTAAAAGTGTCAAGAGAAAAGCAATTAGTTACCATAAGATTTCCAGCTGATTTCTTAACAGAAATTTTGCAGTCCAGAAGGGATTGGCACAAAATATTCAAAGTGTTGAAAAGCAAGGACCTATAATGAAGATTACTCTCCCCAGAAAATTTAGCATTTAGAATGGTACAGATAAAGAGTTTCCTAGACAAGAAAAAGCTAAACGAGTTAATCACTACCAAACCAGTATTTTAAGAAATGTTAAAAGGACTTTTAAAAAAGATATTTTATTGATTTTTTTACAGAAAGGGAGGGAGAAGGAGAGAGAGTTAGAAACATCAATGAGAGAGAAACATCCACCAGCTGCCTCCTGCATACCTCCTACTGGGGATGTGCCCGCAACCAAGGTACATGCCGTTTTCTGGAATCGAACCTGGGACTCTTGAGTCCACAGGCTGATGCTCTATCCACTGAGCCAAACTGGTCAGAGCTAAAGGGACATTTTTAAGATGAAGAAAAAAAGATCAAAATATGAAAAGCAAAGTAGCAATAACTACATATCTATCAAAATTACTTTAAATGTAAATGGATTAAATGCTCCAATCAAAAGACATAATATGGCTGAGTGGATAACAAAACAAGATCCTTAAATATGCTGTCTATAAGAGACTCACTTCAGATTAAAAGACACATGAAGACTTAAAGTAAAGGGATAGAAAAGATGTTTCATGAAAATTGAAACAAACAAACAAAAATCTGGGGTATCAGACAAAATATACTTTAAAATAAGAGACAAAGAATAAACACCCAGCAATTCCACTTTTGGGTGTTTATCTTAAGAAACCCAAAACACTAATTTGAAAAGACCTATACTTCCATATATTTATTGCATCGTTATATACAATAGCCAAGATATAGATGCAATCTCAGTGCCCACCATTGATGAATAGTAAAAAAGAAATAGAGCATATGTACAATGTCATATGACTTAGCCATAAAAAAGAATGAAATCTTGCCATCTGCAGCAACACAGATGGACTTAGAGGTTATTGTGTTGAGTGAAATAATTCAGACAGAGAAATACAAATGCCATCTTATTTCACTTATATGTGGAATCTCAAAACAACAACAAAATAAATAAATAATCAAAATGGAAACAAACCCATAGCTACAGAGAACATTTTGTTTCCCAGATGGGAGGGAAGTTTGGGGGATGGGTGAAAAAGGGATTAAAAAGTATGAAAATAGTCATGAGCATTTAATGTATGGCAAAGGAAATATAGTCAATAATATTGTAATTACTATGTATGGTATCAGATGGGTACTAGATTTTGTTTTAATTTTTTATTGATTTCTTTTATAAAGAGAGAAAGGAAAGGAGAGGCTGAGAGAGAAACATCAATGTGTTGTTCCATTTACTTCTGCATTTATTGGTTGATTCTTGAATGTGCCCTAACCAGGATCAAATCTACAAGCTTAGCATCAGGACAATTCTCTAACCATCTGAGTACCCAGCCATGACCAGATGGGTATTAGATTTATCAGGGTGATCACTTTGGAAATTATATAAATATCTAATTACTATGTTGTACATCTGAAAGTAATATAATATTGTATGTTAATTATAATTGAAACTAAATAGCCTATCTAATAAAAGGGTAATATGCAAATTGATCTTCCCTCCAATGTAAGATGGCCGCCCCCAGGTAGTCAAAGATGGCCACCCCCAAGTGGACACAAGATGGCTGCCACAAAATGGTTAGCAGGGGAGGACTGTTGGGAGGGACCAGGCCTACAAGGGAGGACAGTTTGGGGGAACGAGGACTGCAGGGGAGAGCAGTTAGGGGCAACAAGGCTGGGAAGGGAAGGCAATTAGGGGTGACTGGGCCAGAAGGGGAGAGTAGTTGGGGGAGAGGGGTCAGGCTTACAGGGGAAGACATTTGGGAGGGACAAGACCTGTGGGGGAGGACAGTTAAAGGAGACCAGGCTGGCAAGGGAGTGCAGTTAGGGCTGAAACAGGCCAGCCAGGGATGATAGTTAGGAGCAATCAGGCTGGTAAAGAGCATTTAGGCGTTGATCAGGCTGGTAGGAGAATGGTTGGGGATAATCAGGCTGGCAGGCAGAAGCGGTAAGGGGCAAACTGGCAGGCAGGCAGGCAGGCGAATAGTTGGGAACCAGCAGTCCTGGATTATGAGAGGGATGTGTATATGGGCAGCCGGGCATCCCTCGAGGGGTTCCATATTGGAGATGGTGCAGGCTGGGCTGAGGGACACACATACCCCCATGCATGAATTTCATGCACTGGGCCTCTAGTATTTAATAAAAAACAAAAGAGGGGGGATATAATAAATTATTCAGTTTAGTTTTCTCATTATGTAGATTAGAAAACCAAGGCTCAGAGATGTGAAACACTGCGAATTTGTGGCAGAACAAGGATTAGGTTCTCCTGATCTTTTGATTTCCAGCCCCTGGGTTTCCCATCCTCCCATGGAAGTCTCTCTTATGGCCATTTCTTGCAGGGTAGCTTTAACCTAGAAAGTTGGCCACATTCTCACAATACCAGATCTTTGGAACAGTGGAACCCCTAGGGTCCTCAATAAGCAGGATCCTGAGGGTGCATTGTCCATTTTTTTCTTAATTTCAATATGATGTGATGCTCAAAGGGTAAGACTCAGGAAATATATGCAGGAAGCACTGACTGGTTTTGTCCCCTTTATTTCCAGTTCTGTCCTCTAGGCAGCAGTCCCTCATTGCCTTACAAAGCAGGAACCCAAGCAAGCACTTGAAGTTTAATTGATCTGGATGGTTGGAATAAAACTTCGTTAGCCCAAATTACTCTAGTTTGCCTAATTTGTTTCTCTATGTGAGCTCTGATAAGCTTGGTTTAACATCTACTAAACTGTGGTATTTATCATCATCAATGCCTACTCAAATTACCCCTGCAGAGTAATGGACCAGAAGAAAAATGGTTTAAAAGGTATAGCAATTTTGTTTGGATATTTCTGCACACATGCACAGAATGTGGAGTCCAAGGCACTACCAAAGTGCATTTCTTTTCATAGCATGACTCTACTGTTCAAAAATAAAACACAGCCAGAAAAAATCCTTTCAATCATTAATGTTCAATCAGAACTTAAGTGTTTTGAATTCCATAAACTTTGGGGCTTTTTCTATTTGTATACAGTGATAAATTCATTGTTATGTTTTTCTTCCAATCTGTGAGAGACTTTTGACTACTAACCTGTGTGCATTTATGTGTTTACAAATATACTTATTTGTGTTTGTGAACAAAATATCCATCCGAAAAGAAGGCATGTCTCCCTCAGAAGAACCGTTGATCTAACCCAAGTGCAGAGAAACGTTTAACATGGTTGAAAGCCATGCAAGTCTCTGGAAGGAACTGACAGCAATGGCTGCTCCCCAGAGGGATGTTGACAGGAAGACATTTTATACATACCCATTTACACGTGTTTTATTTCATGTATTATGTTTTCTAACAATTACAAACAAAATGCATTGTCAGCAACAATAATCCCAAATAACCATTTTCTCATAATACTGAAGCCTCTTAGCTGTGCTACATATAGGTCTTATATTTTTATTTAAATCCAAATACCATAATACTTTAAATCCACATTCCTTTTTCCACTTCCTTCTAGAAGTCCTCCTTCCTGGACATTCATTGTGTAAAACATTTACTTATCACAGTTGTTTAGCGATTCTCCATCTTCTAAAACACCCGGAGTCCAGAGGATTTGTCAGGAAGTGCTAACTACACCAACTTTAATAGGAAAACCCTTGGCACCATGTCTGTGGAGCATCTAAAATGTTGAGAGTGTTTTGACAGCTATGAAATCACTCCATTCTGAGTAAGCCTTTACCCAAAGGCTCAAGTGGCTGGGTCATAATTGGAAACTGGGGCTCCTGACTCCCAGTCCAGTGCACCACTCAGTGTCTTTGAGTGATATTTAATTTCCCCCTTTGGTTCTTATTACTTGGGATGGTTTTCACCCTTGAAGACTCCATTCTGGTTTGCAATTTCACTCTAGGATCTGTGGGTGTCTTAAAGGAGTGCTTGCCAAAAATGGTGGGAGGTCTCTCGCTACACCATCTCACCTCATGTTCATACCTTGCTTCACTGTTTCCTCCTCATTTAAAATCCTCACCCAATTCTCCTTTGCCTCTAGTCCTTTCTCAGTTCTAACCATGAACCTTGGCTGTGTTATCGCTGTGGCATTAAGCTCTCCTTGACTCATAGTTCCCCTGGAGAGATCAACCAGGATCTATGTCCAAGTTAGTTTAGCATGGGGTTTGCTTAGACTTGTGCTAAGGGACCCCTTCCAGGAAAGTCGGGGTCTGTGGGTTGGCCACACATTAAGGAGCGCATCATGAGCGTGTATAGATCAGGCTTTTGGGTTCAATGGCCTTAAGATGCATCTGACCTTCAGAATTCAGAAGCCTCTAGAACTCTATTAATAGCAGGAATATACACTCCATGTGGCACTGAACTAAATTAGAGACGCTGCATTGACTGGGGAGTAGTTTGATGAATTAGGGCCTGTATCATGCACCACAGCCTCCTTTCCTGCTCCTGCTGAGGATGTACATTAGCACCCAGCTGCTGTAGAGCTTCAAATAGTACCTGTTCCCCTGGAGGAAAACTTCAAGGTCCACTCATTTGCTAAGGGCTAATATTTTTCCCAAGGGATAG